CGCGCACATGTTCCGCACGTATCATGGTCCTGAGGGCACTCCTTGGCCAGGTGCCCTGCATCGTAGCGCTGGCATTTGGAGCACCTCAATGGTTCTGCCAGGTTCTTCCTTACGCTTACATGGCGGCCCGCTAGCACCAGACCTGCTCGGATAACCTTGTTGGCTGCTTCCGGAGAGGAGAGCGTAACCAATAGGTGAGCAAAACGTTGGCCTTGGTACCGCTTGTGAATTGGCTTAATCCAGCGAGCATCCACAATTGCCCCTTCCTCAAGATCAAGATCTAGTTCTGTCTGTCGCCATTGTGTAGTATCGGTTGGATCTAACCCAACCGGTGTAAACTCCGCAACCAACTTGTACTGGCGAGGGCGAATCTTTGCCCTTGGGCTCAAAACAAACTCATAATCGTGTGCGTGCTGCACTATCCACTTAGCCAGGTCTGGTGTGGCGAGCTCCAGAACTACTCCCCCGTTCCGGAGGGCCTTCGCCACAGTAAAGCGGAGACCTTCCGGAACGTCAAGTTCTTCTCTCGAGAGGTAATCGAGCGCATCATTAGCCTGCTCTAAAATCTCTGTCTCCAAGAGTGTGCCGTCGCGGTTCCCAGGGAAGCCATCAATAAGGATCTGTCGTGCACGGATGCTCTCCCGGTCTACGACACTCAACTGCGCAGCTCGTGTGGTACTCGGGAGGCTTGCTCTTACAGCCTCCGCATAGGAGAAAGGGAGAGAGACAGGTGACGACTCACCGAGGGGGAGGCCTGCGCATCCTGCCTCCTGAATGTTCTCTACAGCCCCTTCGATCTTTTCCTTTGCGCATTCCGCAACCCCTGCCAGCTCGTTTGCGAGTTCAGAAATATGGTCGCCAGCGGCGGCCACCCTCGCCTCCAGGGTGCCGATGAGTTCTTTCATCTGCGACTCAAAGCGGGTGAGTACAGCTTCCGTCAATGATTTGCTTACCGCGCTCTCTATGACCGCCTTGGCATAGACGGCTAATGCTATGCAACACTCCGACGCCCATGCCATCTTCCCTGAGAGTCCCACTCCTACATGATGAAGGCCCGTGATGAGGCCCTCCGCCATGGGTTCTCCAGCCGCCGGTACCATCTGATTTTTCCGCAAGACAGCGAGAGCTTCGTCCATGGTCTGAATCTTGTCCACCGCTGCCGTAAAGGTGGCTGTAGCCAGTGTGGACCGCAGTTGCTTGGTAAGCGGTGCGCCTGTCGCTACAGTTGTCGATGTCTTTCTTGTCTGTGAGGCGGTTTGTGGCGATGCTGCCGGTCCTCGCCTGGTAGTGTCCTGGGGCATCCTGCTGTCCGTATGTATTGCTGCTGTTTCATGTACGCTATAGGCCGTCGCCCAGAGGGATAACTGACCGCACGACGTAGCCCGCTCCTATTGGCTGACGATCGTGGGAAAGTTGCCGTAGGTGGTGGTACGAGTGAAAGGAGCTACAGGCTGAGGACTTCACCTGTCGGCATTGAGCGCCCGGCACAACGCAGCCACCCCCATTCATGCAGCACCACGGTCTAAGTGTCGACTTTGATTGTTCATGTCATGCGTAGACAGGCAGTCTGATATCAGTACCACACGCGGGCGCATACCCAACAAGAACGAGTTTGTAATTCAGCAAGAGCTTAGGTCCTCTGGATTTTGCGTCCGAGCGAATTCAAATCAACGCTCGTGGGTGATTGCCTGGGCCCTGCAGTGAACGTGGGTTTCTTCAGAGTTGGCTTAAGCACAATCCTACGAACGTGCCGGGGACAGGTTCATGTGGAAACGTGGTCAGGAAGCACGGTAGCACGCTGAGCTCGACAGAAATGGAAACTGCTATCGTCGCGTGATCGGGCGTTTACGGTCAGTGTGTCCAATATCCGCTGTCGGGCTTGGTCCGAACTGTCCCATCGCATACATGGCCCATCGTAGGTGCGCAAGTTTGCCACTATCGCCGTCGTAAATGTTGAACAGGCGCTGGTTTACACAGCTTGCCTAACACAGCCGTCACAAGATATGGAACGGCACAGCCGGTTACTGCAATAACCGAGGCTGTACTACTCATGTGGTACACACACAGCTTTGCTGTGTACGCACTGCTTCTCTGTGCGACTGTGCATCCTGGGAAGGTACTGTATAGTACTACGTAGCCACAGATGTACAGTAGTATATATAGGGGACCTCTGTACCCCCAATCTACAGTTCAGTTCACTTGAACGTC